GGGCTCAGCCTCCAGCAGCGGATCAGAAAAAAAAGGACAAAAAAAAAACTAAAGAAAAAAAAACCAAAAAAACCCAAAAAACCCCAAAGGCACATTTGCCAGTCAATACAATGTTAGGGGCAGCACAAAAATCACAGCTGTTCTTCACTCTGCCTTTCAAAGCTGCTGTCCAGCACAGGTTGCCCAGAGAAGCTGTGGCTGCCCCCGGATCCCTGGAAGTGTCCAAGGCCAGGCTGGACAGGGCTTGGAGCACCCTGGCATGGTGGAAGGTGTCCCTGCCCATGGCAGGGGTGGAACGGGACGAGCTTTAAAAAAAGGTGCCTTCCCATCCAAACCCTTCTGGGATTCCACGATTCTGTGAGCAGCCCCAGGCAGAAGGGCTCAATTTCCATTGTGGTCCGGAAATGCTGCTGCAAGAGCACAAACAGATTTCAAATACTGTTCAAGTGGCACAACCACATCAAAAATTACGTCTGGGGGTAAAGCGGCAACTCTGCAATTCCAGCCTCTGATACCGAGGACACATGGAGGGCTGAATCCGGGGGGAGTTCGGGGTCCGAGTCAGGGTCGTCCTCATGAGCCACCAGCCTGGGGACCCAAAAATCGGGGGGAACCCCAAATTGGGGGGTGACACAAAATTGGGGGGGTCCTGGGGGGCTCTGGAAGGTCTTTGCAGCATCCCAGGAGGAATTTTGGGGTGTCAGGGGGTTTTTGGGGAGTCGTGAAGGGAATTTAGGGGGTCTCAGGGAATTTTTGGGGGGTCCCAGGAGGAATTTTGGGGACCCTGATGGGAATTTTGGGGGTCCCAGGGGGGGGTTGAGGTCCTGGAGGGAATTTTGGGGGGGTCTCAGGCAGTTTTTGGGGTCCCAGGAGGAATTTCAGGGGTCCTAAAGGGAAATTTGGCGGTCCCAGGAGGTGTTTTGGGGTCCTGAAGGGAATTTTGGGCCTCCTGGGAGGGTTTTGGAGTCCTGGGGAGAATTTTGGGGGTCTCAGGGGGTTTTTGGGAGAAATTTTGGGGGTCCCGAGTAGAATTTAGGGGGTCCTGGGGGAGGTTTTGGGATTCTGAAGGGAATTTTGGGGTCTCAAGGAGTTTTGGGAGGTCCCAGAAGGAATTTTGGGGACCCTGATGGGAATTTTGGGGCTCCCAGGGGGGGTTTTGGGGTCCTGAAGGGAATTTTGGGAGTCCTGGGGGGGTTGGAGTCCTGGGGAGAATTTTGGGGGTCTCAGGGGGTTTTTGGGAGGAATTTTGGGGGTCCTGAGTAGAATTTTGGGGGTCCTGGGGGGGGTTTGGTGTCCCTCCCCTACACAGCCCTTTGTCTAACCCTTAAACAATGGGGTGCCAGATTTTCATTTCCAAGATAATTAACAGTCTTTCCCCTGGCAAACAGGATTTGTGCTTCCAAAATTGCAAACAGTGAATGATTTCTCGCAGACCACAGCTGCCAACACCAGGAACTCTCACTGCCTTTGGAGAGCAGCACGCCTCCAGTGAACACACATCAACACACAGGGAGGGTGAGGTTGGTTTTACACGGAAAAAGGGCAGAGGTCGGGTCACAAGGCCGGTGGCCCCAAGTGACTTTCTACATCTTTTTGTTCTGAATGGCACAGGATTTATCCAGGAGCAAAACTGCTGCCAGCAAGAATTCTGCCTGTCCTGGAAGAGACAAGCACCTCCTCGACATGGACATCAGGAAGTGAAGAGGGTGAGCCATGTTTCACACAGAATAGGGCCAGCGACAGAGTCCAAGAGCCAGGGGCCATGAAAGAAGGGCCGCCCCCTGAAAATCTGAATGCAGAAGGATGTCTTGTGGACCCAAGCTGCCCTCATGTCAATGAGGGGTTGCCTTGAAGATCCCAAGCACAACTCGCAAACTGACTTCAGGAACCTGGACTGGTGAGTTTTCTTTCCCAGGGAAAATGGAAAAAGGATGTGCCCAGGGGCCCCTGGCCCTGGGCTGTGGCCTCACTACAAAAAATCCTTATATCGAAGGATGGACCCCACACCGAAATTGTCCCCACCTCAAACTTGTGCTACCCTGAAAGACCAAAGGGAGCCCTACAAACTGACATCAGGAACCTGGACTGCTGAGTTTTCTTTCCCAGGGAAAATGG